ACCACTGGCATGTTTTAATGAGAAAGACTTTTTTCTTTTTGCAATGGCAGTTCGTTGTCAGAATTCAAGCAAGCAAAGTCCTGGTGCTGCAATAACAGCATCTGTGCTGGTGAAGAGAAAGCAGATTAAATGCTTTACTACTTCCATATATTTCAGCTGGCCAAACCTCCAAGCATGGAGAAGCCTTTTACCTTGGACCTCTGAGCTTTCTGACCCTAATCACAAATAGGAATTTCACAAAGCAACTGCTTCTCTCCTAATGGACCTCTAAACTCTCTGAGTTCCTGTGAGTGCCTGTTTTTACATTGGCCCTTTCCCCGTGAAAGGAGTACTGATAGTCATGGAGGACACTTAGGATTTAGCACTATAGCAGAGACAAAATACAGATGCTATGTACTTCTACAGTGATAAGCCAGCCGGATTATCTGTGTGACTGTGCATCACCAAGATGAAAAAAGAACATGCTACTCTACATTTCAAACTAATTTAGAAAATCCACCACTGTCAGCCTGGAGAAGTGCTTGCTCGTTTCTAAGATTATAGAGAATTAGGTTTTTCAGCTTGGCTTCCAGCATCCTCTTCTCTCCATTCTCTTCCCTCATACCCATGCTGGTGCCCTCCAGCACAGGGCAGTAATGACTGGACCTTAGACTTCAGTTCCCTTCACCAGAGCAATTCCTACACTGGGTAACATGACACACTGCATCAAAACGCTCTAATCTTAACCTGTACATCACCCATCTACTAAGGCAGGACATGACACACGTGAAGACTTTTCCATCTCCTTGTATGTCCCCTTTAGGCATCATCAAGAAAATAATTCTTTTTTATTTTAATTCTAATAAATGACTGCAAAAATCAACAGACAACTCCAGAGGCTGAGAATGACCTCATGCGTCATTTTCATTTGTTTTAATACATTAGTGTCTGCACTGAATGAAAGAATTTATAACCACACTCAGGTTTCCTGAGAAATCATCCTAGCAGCATGTTTACTGAATCAGCAGGAAAAGTGAATAAACAAAATGAAATCAGAAAAGAAAAAGCAGTATCTCAATGGAAGCTGGAGGAGCTGAAAAGAGCCATGAGATTATAATCTTAAAACCTCAGTGAGGATAATATAGAAGATATTCTAATCACTATATCCAATTAAATGAAGTAAATCACTAAAGCATGTTAAGTGCCTTAACTATTATAATAATTAAGAATCAAACAGAAATCAAGCATCTTTGAAAGACTGATGATGCACATTAGTGAACAGGGAATACTGTTTCCCATTCCAATGCAGAGACAGAAAACACAGATTTCCCAGTGCCTAATGCCAGCAAGAGTGCGAAAGTGAGCATCCTGTGTGGAAATCCCCGCTGGGAACTGGCATGGCCTCACCCTCACAGTGCCAGCCATGTCCTGCTCCCGAGGTGAACGGCTTCTTATTCTTGGTACATTTTATGGTCTCACTGTCTGAAGCTCCAAAGCAAATGCATGAATTAGAATCATAGACTGGTTTGAGTTGGAAGGGAACTTAGAGATCATCTAGTTCCAAACCCTGCCACAGGCAGGGACACCTTCTACTAGACCAGGTTGCTACAAGCCCTGTCCAACCTGGCCTTGAACACTGCCAGGGATGGGGCAGCCACAGCTTCTCTGGACAACCTGTGCCAGTGCCTCAGCACCTTTATCATAAAAATCTCTTTCTTATAGCCAGTCTGAATCTACCCTTTTTCAATAAACAACCATTACCCCTGGCCCTATTGAAACAGGTTCCTCCAAAGTAGAATGGCACCCAGTGACTCAGTGACAGAATTACCAAACCAGAGGTAATGCTGTCAGTACGTGTGCTATTGTCCAAATTCACTCAGTACACATTTAACATCTCTCGAGCACTGGGAATGTCCTGCCCATAACACAGTGATAAATTACAGCACAGGCATTCAGATAAGAATCTGCGGTTCATGTACAACTCCTCATTAAATTAAAGACAGTCATCTTCCTATTCTAAATCAGTCTGAGGCCCTGTGTAGATGATAGATATTTTAATTAGTAAAATTACCAACCAAGAAGTACAATTTAGACACAAGATTTATCTACGAATGATAATTCCCCAACTTTTCTGCAACAGCTGGAGCTAAGCTTTCTGAATACAAAACACTGCTATTGCGCTAAGCTATGGCATGTACATGGACCTCATTGATGACTCCTCTACTTCCAGAGAGGTTTACAATAAATCTTTTTTTGTTTCTAAGTTCCAAGCATCCCTGCTTATACAGGACCCATTTTTACCAATTCCACACAGCTGGGGTTTCCTTGCATTCAGAAAGCTCTGCTAAATATCAGAGGATAGTTAAAAATAGGTGAACTCTCCAACTGGAGTCAGAAGTGTGCTTTATCTCCACAAAATGTATTTGGAAAGAATAGCTACAGACAGAACCAAAGGTGGGAAACTTGTCCTGCTGGAGTCCTCAGCTGCATGAAGACACCCTGAAATGAAGTATGATGTTTTCATGAGAAGCAATCAGCACAGCAAAAGAGGGATCATTTGCACTGTGTTTTCTCCTTGTTTTGCTAACACCATGGCTCTGATGATTATAAATAATCCAGAAAGTTTATTTAGCCACATTGCCCTGCACTTCAGGGAGGAGGAACTGTATTCGATAGACTAACATACTGGATTTTAAGGGTTCTTCCTCCATTTTCACTTCACACATCCCTTCTGCTTGGCAAAAGTTTGTACATGAAAAACACACTAAGAAAAAAACAAAACTGAACAAAAGCAATAGTGAATTTTGTTTCCATTCTTTTTCATATTTGTTTTCCTTGTACAAAAAATGCATTGAAGTGCTCAGTGTGGGATTTCATACGTTGCAATTTTATCTCAGGAAAGTAATCTCTCCCACACCACATTGTATGAAAAGGGAGAGAATACAGCAGTAATGTGGGCTTTTTTCATTCCTACAACTTCTTTATTGCCAGCGGGTAAATACAATTACACATTGTGCAGAATGCATGCTAAAACTATAAAATACCTGGAGTACATCTAAGTCTATTTGAGATACGTCAAGCCTCTATTCATGTAAAGAAGAAAAGAGAAAAATATTACAGAAGGATGGGCTCCCGTGCTGTTTTGGCTGCAGGAAAGCTTGGATAGGAGTATGAGCAATCTGCAACCTGCAAAGCCACTGCACCACTCAGACAGTACCAAAAATTTTCTTACAGGCTGTAACACTGCTATTGCATTTGCAATATTACTTTTAAGAAGCTCGTTTTCACTAAGCCCGGCTCATAATCACTTTTGTGTCTTGAACCATACAACATTAGACTAAGCATTTCATTGGCAGCACTCACCTTTGCATTCTTCCTTTAGTACATTCCCAAAGCATAACTCACCCTGATCCCAGTGCTGAGAGGTCCTGGCAGCCTTCAGCTCTCTCAGAAATAAGATTTCCCTCCAAAACAGTACTTATGTCCTGACTACAACCTGCTGGCACTCTTACCCATTGCCCACAAGCAAATGCTGCCTATCCCTCCAGTGATGGTGAGCCCCATTCCCATCACTACAGGTTGTAATTTCTTGGTCTTTGCACAAATACCAGGTTAAATGAAAAAGGCTGTTCAATGCATTCAAGAACACAGCCTTGCAAAACTCAGGTTGAGTACTAATGTGACCTGATCTGAACTACTAGAGAGGATAAACCCACTAAGAAGGTATGAAAAACCAGCACTAGCTTCAAATACACACCATGGTGAAGGGGTTTAACTACAGCCTGCCAACTAAACCTGGTGAGCATGAGGCTCATTTCCCAACAGAGATGGATGTATTGACTCGTTATCAAACCATGTGCTGGCCTCAGATGTGGTAGCTTTCAGATCAGGCTCACACCAAAATATAGTCCCACTGAGGGGGTTTGCAATGTGATGCTGCATTAAGAAAAAGGGGAAGTTAAAGACAAAAAGCAACAATAAGTAATGTTAATCCAAAAAGACGCAGTAGAGGAATCCCTTCAAAATAGATGCTTTTATCCACAGTCCAGTTCAAACCTTCTCAATTTTAGCGCAAAATATTGCAAACTATTGGAAAAAAAATCCCAGAGCCCCAGAGACAGTCTCACCCATCAGTGCCACGCCATGACCAAATCTCTACTTTAACAGAAGGCTCTGTCCTGGGTTCAACCTAATTTTTTAGGGTTACTCTTGGAGAGCTCCCCAATTACCTGCAGCTCCTCCACTTGGCCAAGCAATAGTTTGGTCCCTCCTGCCATTTCAGACCCCCCAACCACTGCAGCAGGGTGGTATGGCTTCAGACCTGCTCCTGCAGCTGATTTTCACCTCCAATGAGCCTCTTCTCCCAACCTGCCTCTTCCATTATCTGTATTATCTAAGTCTTCAAACTGTCATCCCCAAAGATTTAACCAGCCTCCCAGGTCTTTCAAGCAGTTCCTCACTCAAAAGCCTCCAATTACCTGTCAAAATATTTTTACCTTTCACCATATAAAGCTTAGTTTTTCCTGTGTTTGAACTTCAGTCTGCTCTATTTTATCTTCTAGTAATCTCAGTGCCTTCTACCATTCCTGGTTATGTTATTATGCATTTGAGCAGGTCTCCCATAAGGAATGACCTTATCTATAGGTATGAAACCTGACAGCTTTCAGCTGTTCTTTTACTGCTGGATTTGTTCTTTGGGCTGGGAAAGGGGAAGGCCGGGTTCAGTTGGATAACCAGTAAATATCAGCTGAGACCTCCCTGCCCAGATTCAACCCTTTTCACAGGCTCTGTCTAGAAAATCTTGGATAATGGCTCTGTCTTTTCTTACCCCAAATTATCCCAAGAAAGATAAATTTGCATTTCTTGCAATATTTTGGAGGTCTGCCATTTCAGAAATGAGGATTGCTTCCCCAAATACAGAACAGGAGGATTTGAATATAGCAGTGGTCTTCATGCACGTCTGACACACCGACCAACCGCTTCAAAGAAAGATGCCAGCAACACAGAAGGCAGTAACTGGCTCCCTAAATGTGCTTCCATTAAGAGGTAACATACAAAATGTTACTTTCAACCTAGTTCTTCAGCTCATCAAAAATATATCCTTATTAATGGAATTCTAGGTGTTCTCATTATATATGCTGCTTTTTAAGCACAGTAAATGGTGAACCTAAATGGTACCTAGTTCTTTAAGTAAGTTCTTTAGGGTTCTTGTCTATAGCACTGCCCTTCCCATTACATTTCCAATAAATTATTTCCATTTTTATATCTGAAATCCCAGAAATGGCACTAGAGAAACCTAGCATTTAACTCTTACATTTAATACAAACTATTTCACTCAGCATGAAAGCATTTTAAAATTATTCCCATGCAGACTGTGGTTCACTGTTGTACTTGGTAAGCTTAGTATGTCCATGGCAACTGATGAATATTACTGCTGCTACTGCTATAAATAACAAACCTATTTGGCAAAGTCTGAGATGTAAATATTAAATCCAGCACAAAGACAATTTTCCATCCCTTCTTTTGCTCCCTTCTGAATTAGAAACCTATACTTGCATGTCAGTAGATTATTTCCAAAAGGAGCTGCAGGTGTCACAGTACTGCAGAAGCTAGCAATTCTGACTGACGTTGTCAATAAGAATCACACGTTTGGGGTCAGGATGCTGTGTAACACCAAGCTGGCTGTAGCAGCAACTCCCCCTTTGAACCAATGAGCCCTCCCAGTCCCAGCACTGAGATGGTACAAACAGAGCACATCTTTTGGAGAACCATCAAAATTTGTGGCCATTTGTAGCTTCATTTGGAAAAAGTCAAAGGTAGAGTCTCACCTGCGTGCAACTGGGTCACTATTCTGCATCTGCAAATTAGGCACAAGGGCACGCAAATGGAGCTAATGACCTTTCCAACAGATGGTACAATTGACTGTGAGCCCCTGTTTTGCAACACAGTTTTTTGGAGGGAGTGCCAGAAACAATACACATGATGGGAGAGCTGAGCACAGTTACATTGCCCGGTGCAGTTGGGATGTCGCATACTGTCAAATCTCTTTGTATTTCTCTGCTCCTCTTGGTCACTTTCCCATTCCTGGCAAGGGAGAGGGGGACATCCCTGCTACCTGCCCATGTCATAATGCTGGGATCAAGCACAGCAGCAGCACTCCACAATTGGGCTCTGATCAGCTGGGGACAGTGTGCCATGGCTCCTCCCCATGAGCCTGGTGATCACTTGGTGGAGCACGGATGGAGAGCAGATCTGTCACCTCCCCAGCAGTGCTCTCCACAGTGCTGCAGCCAAGCTCTGGCAGGGATGCTAATTGCTTTTGAACTGCCACTGTGTATGAAGAATTCAGATGAACTGTTAGAAGCACTTTGTCTCAGTGCCTTCCTTGGCTCTGCCACAAAAGCCACTGGCTGCTGCTGCTATCACTTCCCTCCAGAAGTTAGACCATTGCCCCAACCCCAAAGTGGCAGCTCTACTAAAGGCTGATCAGAAGCAGCATCTCACAGTTGCCATTCTGCTCCTGCTGCCCATCAGGCTGGCTTGCCTTCCACTGCTGGGATCTGGAGGCTCTAGAGAGATGGTCTACAGACCTGCCTGTGTTTAATGGACATGACAAGTGAGGAGTTGGTGAGCAAGCCTGTGCCTAGATCCAGGTCAGACACGAGTAGTAACTGCAGCAAATGCAACATTTTTCTTCCTGACCCCACTCTTTCTATGCAGCCACTCTCAACAGCACTCAAAAGAGGATCAGTATGTTGTGTCCTACCCAGATCTCAGCTTCCTGCCATTCTACCAAACCACCACCAATTCACTGGGACACTGCAGCTTCACAGCTCTGCCACACTGTTACTCCAGGGTCTACACTGAGACACCAGCCAGCTACACCTTACTCAAAGTCATGCTGAAATACGCTCTGACACACCATCAGATAAATCGGTCGTAAAACCAGCCGATTCAAAAGAAAAGTAGTAGCATCAGCACAGACCTCACTTCCACCCAGGAATTTGCTTTTTGTTGTATTAGCTAAATCTCATCTTGTTAGGCACAGTGGCCTGAGCTGAAGTGTGCAGCTCCTGACATTTCAGGATGTGGGAAAACAAGGTAAACATGAGTGTGGGAGAAATAAACGGGCACGTTAGAGAACTGCTGCTCAGACACAGTGCTAAAGCCTCCAGCACTAAATGCTACATACAATTCTTTGTCATAAACATGTCAACTACAGTGTTTATACCAAAGTTCTCGATAGATTATACTATTAATATAAAAATGACAGCTGTCATGCAACACATACAGCAATGTCACAGTTTCAGAGCCTACAACAAAAATATGGGGTTTGATTCTGCAAAACTCAAGTTTGAGCTCAAGCAAACAGTTGATTATATTCAAGCAAACTACTTGGCTATGTAAAAAAAAAAACAAACCTCAGAATCAGTGCCAAAACAATGCTTGTAATGCAATTTAAGTACATTATTCTCAAGCAACGTAACTAATTTTTAACATAACAAGTAATTAAGTTGTAAATGCGAGCAACTATGGGGGTTTTAGTGTAGGCAATATAACATTTACAACAGCAGAATCACTGTGAAGTTTTCTGGACTCATCTGTAACCTGGACTGCTTCAATTGCTTTCAATGTAGGGATCAAAACCCGTTCGACTTCCAGCTAGGCACTCAGTGAAGTGAGGTCTCTTCCTCTTGAAAGCAAAGACTTTTGTACCTGCTTGTAGGTGAAGAATGCTCTTAAGGAAATTCTCAGATACGTGATGTGCTGGTTGGAGGCCACAGTGATAAGCACAGCCATGACCTTACAGAAACGCACCTTGAACCAAAGGCAAGCACGCAATAATTAACATTCTCGCCACATGCTCAGAGGCTCATGCAGTGCACTCATAGAGGTCCTCTTTAAGCATGCTGCTGTTTGGACATGTTGAGGGTGAGGCTCGAGGAGCCTTGAAAGAGAATCCAGGCAGTAGCTGGAATTCAGAGGAAGGCTGGATTTAGAGCTAATGCTCTGTAATATGTTGCCAACCACACGTAAACATGTTAAAGTGGATGAGGCAAAAAGAGGATCAATCTTGCTTGCCCAGCACCCACGAGCAGTCAGCTCATGCTGCAAGCACCTATAGAAATGCATGGCAAACCCTCATAAGGTCTCTCCTGATGTGACTGCAATATACATATGGTTGTGCATCCATGCAAATAAACAACTGAGACATTAAACACTGTATTTACTGCATACAGCCAGGCAGCGAGACCGTTTCCACAATTACTTGGAGAATAATTCATTATGGGCTGTAACTGCTGGCTTGTCCCTGGAACAATTTGTTGGGAAAGAATAAGCTCTAGGTTTCTTTACAAATCTTAGAGCTGACAGCTTTAAAACAATCAAAACCCAACCAAAGTATTACCTAATTCATTTCCAAAAGCTTAGGGGAAAAAAAAAACAAACAATTTCTCCGCAAAGGCAATTGGATGGACAGGGAAAACATAGACTTTTTGTGCAGCAATTCCTTTACAAACTGCCTCAGTGGAATGGATGGGACAGTTCAGGAATTCAGACTCTGCTCTGCATGATGGAGGGTAGCAAGGTCTGGGATATGGCTTGGGCAACTGACCCTGAGAAATCAGATACAAATGCAGATACTAGGATAAAGGAGAGGTGAAAACATTCATCTAAAAAAGCAACTAAAGCCCACCATGAAATATACACATGAAAAGCATTTTAATTTTCACATTCAGGCAGTAGCTTCTTCCTTATGTAAACAGGGGTTAATAAAAAACCCCTCAAACAACAGTTCATCCACATTTAACACCAACTTGATTTCTTGTGGATTTTTTTACTAGAATAATTTATTCCCGTTCAAAAATCTCCACATGGGAACCTATTTACTGCCAGAAGTTGGAAGAAGCTGTTCTTCAGCTTCTTCTCCAATGTAAATCCTTGGAGTAATGGAGCACTCTGAGAAAAGAAAACTCTGAGCTGAGATTTCACTCGGGAAAGGCTCCTGCCAGGCTGGCTGTCACCTACAGGTGCTGTGTTGAAAGGGAGATAAAGCTGAACAATAAACGGAGTACTTCCATGTTTCCAGACTCTCTTCTGCTGAGAGTGGAAGACTGGAGGTGCCCTATAGCACAGCGATGGAAAACTTGAGATATTTTCATTCCTTTAATTACAATTAAATCTAATAAATCTCAGGAAAACTCACCCACCACATACAGCAGGCAGTTATAGGCTCAAAATACGGATGTGATTTCTACAAAGGCTTGAATTCTGTTACACTCAGCTAAGCTGCAACACTTAATATTCTCCTCTGAATCTTGCTCTGGGCCATTTTAGATATGCAAACAGATGCAGAATGAGTCTTTCCACAGTTGAAATACCTCTCAAGAGCCTAATCACCTTCCAAACAGCTTTGCATTTTGTTTACTGAGTTTTATCGTCCCTGTTTCCCAAGTGCCTGCTTTTAAAATCTCTGCTGCTTCCTCTACTGTTGCTAATTTTACCAGTTTGGGCTATTTTAAGTTTTTTTCTGCCACCGTCTTTGAAATCTCCACTAATACCAAAACGTTCACATCATAAACCCACAGACATTCCCAAATCAGTAGTTCCTTACATCTTTTCCATTCTGCCATGTACACACCACTGGTTTCACCCTTCCTCCTCACCCGACCAGGACCCATTCCCATCTGCTGGGGTCTGAGGTGCAAGAAGAACTTCACTAAGTTATTCTGCAAGCCTTCTTTATCTCCAGGTTTCTGAGCGTGTAAGCAAGTCTTCCAGAGGAAAGAGGTTTTTCTGCCACAGACACTAAGGAAAATCAATTTATCTTTGTTCTTATCTACAAGGAAATACAAGCCAAATATTTCCATATACTGCTGTCAGTTCTCGCTGTCTGAATTAAACACTCCCATTTTTCTAGTAATTGCCGGACTTCAAATATTTTATTGCCAAATGGAAAGCTCCACTGTTTAAGAGAGGACTGGCCATGCAGTACTAGAGGGAATCATTGCTTTATCAACTGAACAAAAACAAGTGGAGAAAGAAATTCCCACTGTCAGGAGCACCAGCAGCAAAGACCTCATCCCCCAAAGGCCAAACTCAAACCATCTTCCTTAGTTTATAATTATTTTTCTCCCCTAAATTACAAGGACAGGAACAGGAAACAATCTGAAAAAGCACAAGGTGACAGAATGGGAGTTATAACCAGACCTGGCAACCAGGATTTGACCCTGACACAGGGCATGTTGGTGTCCTAGCCTCAGCCCCACCAGCACACCTTGCTCCCAGGATCCCTCAGTTCCCCTCTAAGGGCAGCCCCATCCCTATCATCCAAATGAGCAGTAGCATGGAGGACACAGTCAGGCTCTCCAAGGCCTGCGAACTCCATGCTATTCCAGCATTTGCCTCCAGAACAGGTCCACGTGTGTCTAAGGGAGGAACACTAACCTCAACACTGGCTTCACAAGAAGGAGAAGTTGACGGAGAAGGACAACCTAGGAGCAGACTCAACTTCCATCAGCCACCATAGCTGCTAGTACCGTAACCCATCAGATGTGCAAACCCCCCAAGCCGGGTATGAACTCACTAATCCAGAGCTCAGGCAATCAGTTGTACTGATGTAAATATGATTTAATCATAGCTGCTACTACTACCTTTGATTACTGGAGTTTCTGTTTTCATGATATTTACATAACTGTATTGGCCTGTTAAGCATTTGCACCCAAGCTGAATCATTCACTGGATAATCCACAGGCATTGACCAAGCTGCTCCACTTGGAGCTGACAGAGCACCAGGACTACCACTGTTTGCTACAGCTCTGCTTTCCCTCACAGCTGGGGTAGGAGCCAATAGCACCTCTCCCAGTGCGACACATACATTGCTTTGCATTTCCAAATGCACAAGTGTTTTCTGATCTCTGCGCTGTCGATTCTGAAATTGTTTTACACCCCAAAAATTCCATCATGTGCCAAAGTAAAGATCTGCAAACCGGCATCATTTAGGATGATACACATTTAATTTCATCAATAAAGCTGCTAGCACTTACTACAGCACCTTTCCTAGAAAACAATTTGGTGTCATCTAAACTGCATGTCTCCTGCCTGCAGCTTTCATACAGCACAGAGCTGGGGGAGATGGGGTCAAATCTGATCATAGGAAAGCTTAAACTCTGTCAAGGCAGTAGAGCTGCAGCTGCTCATGCTGAGCCTGAACCAGCACAGGCGGTGCTGGATCCATGCAGCTCCAGACAGGCTGCCCTGCGGAATAGAGCGAAGTCAGAAAGGTCTGAGGCAAATATCCAAGCCAGGAAGTTTTTTTGTCTGAGTGAATTAACATGCTGACAGCTCACGGGGCCTTCTGAGCTCACACTGTCAGCCTGCTTGCTGCCCTGTCTGAAGCTAGTAGTAAAGCTTGGATATAAGCCCTATTCGGACCTTTCATCTTTAAAACCTATAAGGTGCTCTCGCTTTCCATTTTCTCTAGATGCCTTGTTATCATTTCTAGCTGCTGTCCTCACAATAGGTGGTCTCCACATGGTGACAACATCAGGTTTCTGTTCCAGCTGATGATGTGGAGACTGCAAAACCTCATGCTCCGGGCTTGACATGGCAGCACAGACTTGGGCTGCAAAAAAGCCAGATACACACGCTCCAGCCCTGTGGAATCAACAGACCCTAAAAATCTCCTGCATCCAGGACCTACAAAGGAGACAGATCCTCTGTCAGCATCGTGTCCGGGTCCCAGGCTTGCCACATAAACAACACAGCAGGAAGACAGTAGGTCCACAGGACATGCAAACATACTTCAGCCTACTGGTACAGACATCAGGAGCTGTGAAGAGCTGAACTGCCTGGGCTACCAGTCCAACAGCAAATACTGCTACAGCTGACACAAAGCAGGGGAGAGGGTGGGGGGAAGCCCAGACCCTGATGTATGAATGAATAGCACCCAATGTACAAATGCATAATGAAATAGACCACAAAATCCATGCCACATATCCTCATGCCCTGCTAACTTACCCTCTTCCTTCTCTGGAGTAGCCATTTTACACAGTTTTCCTCTGGTGAACCCCTCCTTCCAGCATGATTTCATACCTTTCAGGCCCAGCTTGCGGTTAAATTTCTTTCCATAAATTCATTGGACTGCAGATTATTTTACAGTAAAACATTTCCTTTGCTAGTTAATGTCTCCCATGTGTTTGAGTATTTAAAGCAACTTTCAAGCATGCTTTGCTATCTCTCCCTAGCATGCACACCGAAGTCCCTACACAGGGTTTTCGGTGTGCAAAAGTCTAGCACGGAAAGAAGCTAAACAAAGAAATACTGTCAACAAAGAGGAGAAAAAAAGACAGAAGAGAAAAGCTGACAACAAGAAAAACTGACACTGGAAAATTGCCAGCCCTGTACAGTCAATCTTCGGGTTGGCAGGAGAAATGCCGTTAAGTGCAAAAAGAAGAGGATCTCTGATGACAGATGTATGCACAGGCTTAACACAGGGTTGATTAAAAAATAAACAACAATAAAAAAGCCACATTTCTCTCTACTTAGCGTTAGGAGCAATCTATTGCAATTCACAGACACAACTCTGCAGAAGTTTATAGCATGCCATTAAAGAGAGCTCTCTCCCAACCCCACGGATCAGAAGAAACACGTAAAACCACCCAGCCCAAAACACTTCATTTTCTTCAACTTAATCTTTTTTCCCTGCTCTCTGGGGTAAATCCTCCTCTTGGCACCAAACGTAAAGAAAACTTTCTGCAACACTGGGTCAAGCCTTGGCAATTTCAGCAGCTCTGGGCTGTGCCAGGGTGCAGCGATGCTCCTCCACCATAAACGTCCCATGGGGTGAATCACCTTCATCCTAGTTCTGTCCATATGGCAACTTTCCAGGGATGGATCCACTGGAACTGAAGAGTCCTAAGAGAGCACTCAAGCTCCTGCATCTCTGCCCAAGCAGACCAGGGGAAAAGCAGA